CCTGTCACATTCCCCATGCCCCTGGCCCTAGATCATTCACATACCACAAATTCAGCAAATTAAAGTGTACGGAGTTATGCATCTTAGTATATTCACAAGGCTGTGCAGCCATCACCACTATGTAGTTCCAGAACATTTTTCGTCAACCCAAAAAAGAAACACTATTTCGATCAGCAGTCATTCCTCAGTTTCCCCATTCTCCAACCCCTGGCAACCACTAATACACTTTTTGTCTCTATGATTTGCCTATTCTGGATAGTTCACATACACTACATGGTCTTTTGTGTCTGGCTTTTTCTACTTAGCATGTTTCCAAGGTTCATCTGTGGTGTAACCTATAGCAGTACTTCATTCCTTTTTGTTTATCCATGTTGTTGATGGGCATTTTGATTATTTCTACGTTTTGACTAGTATGAACATTTTGTGTACAAGTTTTTGTATGGACATATGGCTGCACCATTTTTATATCCCCACCAGCGGTGTCTGAGAGTTCCAACTTCTCCACATTTTCACCAAAACTTATTATCTGCCTTTTTTATTATAGCTCTCCTAATGGTTGTGAAGTGGTATCTCACTGTGGTTTTGATTTGCACTTTCCTGGTGGTTAATGACGCTAAGCATCTTTTCCTATGCTTCTTGGTCATTTGTGGATCTTCTCTGGAGAAATTTCTATTCAGATTCTTTGCACATTTTTTTTAAGATTTTATTTATTTATTCATGAGAGACACAGAGAGCAAGAGAGAGGCAGAGACACAGGCAGAGGGAGAAGCAGGCTCCATGCAGGGAGCCCGATGTGGGACTCGATCCCAGGACTCCAGGATCACACCCTGAGCTGAAGGCAGAAGCTCACCTGCTGAGCCCCCAGGTGTCCCCCTGCACATGTTTTCATTGGGTTGTCTTTCTATTATTTCATTCTAAGAGTGTTTTATGTATTCTAAATATACGTCCCTTGTCAGATACAGGATTTGCAGATATTCTCCATCTCTGTGAGTTGTCTTCACTTTATTAACAATATTCTTTGGAGCACATGCTATTCTGATGAAGTCTAACCTTTCTTTTATTGCTTGGGCTTTTGATGTCTTATTTAAGAAACCACTGCCTAATCCAAGATCACAAAGCTTCACTTTTATATTCTCTTCTATTTGTTTTATAGTTTTATCTCTTAAATTTAGGCCTTTGATACATTTTGAGTCCATTTTTGTATATGCTGTGAGGTAGGTCCAACTTCATTCTTTTGCATGTGGATGGATACCCAGTTGTCCCAGCTCTTCTAGTTGAAACAAACTGTCCTTTCCCTACCATTATTTGCTTTGGCACTCTTCTCTTGTCAAAAGAAAAAAATAAAAAAGAAAAGAATGGAATGTAAGCATGAGGGTTTATTTCTAGAATCTCAGTTCTATTCCATTGACCTGTGTATCTGTCCTTATGCCAGCACCACACTGTCTTGGTTAGTGTAGGTTTGTAGTAAGTTTTAAAGTCAAAATGTGTGAGTCTTCCAGTTCTGTTTTGTTTTTCCAGATTATTTGGCTGCTCTAGACATGCAGCAGATTCTTCAGACACAGTGGTTGCTTGGTCACTTGCTTTCTTGTTTTTTTTTTTTTTTTTTTTTTTTTTTTTGATGGACTGGCAAGCCTGTGAGAGCCTGGCTGGCCTGCTTGGTTAGCTAAAAAATTCCTCTTCCACTCTTCTGCCTCCCTTCACAAGGCATTTGGCCAGGAAAGATCTGGGTTATTCTGGCCAAGCCATCCTAGTCCAGGGCAAGGTAATAAAAGAGGAAACTTGGTGGGATACATCTGGCCCCTCAAGCAGATTTAAATCCAACTAATTCGCCCCACCCTGGCCAGCCTTCTTTCTCCTTCCTTCTTCATCTTTCAAAGTCAGTATTTAGACGATTATAATTTTCTCTGGAGCCGCTTCTAGCCAAATCACACCAGTGCTGCTCTGTGCATCTTTCATGCCCATCACTCTCCTGCCACTTCCTAAGCACAATTCATGACAAGGTGGTACAGGATGGAGGTGGCAAGTGCAGCAGCCTGGCCTTCCTGGCGGCATCTCCAGTCACACCCATGTGTTCTTTATGGAGCTAACAGGAGTGTCACCTGAGCTGCAAGCACTGATTTTGTTGGTGGGTGAAACTTTCCTTTCCTGTGGAGTTTCTAATCCTTGTCTTGTGGAGGCCAAAAGGAGGACAGGCAGTAAATCAGAAGTAGAAACCTTTAGAAAAAGGTTTCCCATAAGATGACCCACTGCACAATACTAAGGACTTACTGTATTATCTTCTTTAAAAATATGGCCCCCAGCTGGGAGCTTTTTCTAATTAATAAAAGTGATAAAGCCAATGTGAGTTCTTCATCTTCATCTCCATCTCCATCTCCATCTCCATCTCTGCTGGGGGTGTCTCTCCATGGCCTCCCAGCGGGGTAGGAGCAGCCCCTGCACTGAGGCAGACTTAACTCACTGCCACCACTGTTCACTCTGCAAACTTGGATCCGTTACCTATGAGCGTAGCTTCCTCATTGGTTAAATAAGGATACCTAGGGCAGCCCCAGTGGCGCAATGGTTTAGTGCTGCCTGCAGCCTGGGGTATGATCCTGGAGACCCGGGATCGAGTCCCGCATCGGGTTCCCTGCATGGAGCCTGCTTCTCCCTCTGCCTCTCTGTCTCTGTGTCTCTATGAATAAATAAATAAAATCTTTAAAAATAAATAAATAAATAAATAAATAAATAAATAAATAAATAAATAAATAAATAAGGATATCTCCCTGCTTGTGCGGGAGCAGTAAGGGTTAGATAAGCCAGTGTTCATTATTATCCACAGTAACCTAGTTAACCATTTAGTGAATGCTTTCTTTGTGTCAGTCCCTACGTTAGTGTTCAAACTAAATCAAGGCAGGGGTAAAAGAAAAAATTTCATTATCTCTGGAGCCACACATTGGAATATTCTGGCAATCTGCTATGTGTTTAATCCTATGCTGGTCTTCATGTTTATTTTCAATTCTCTGAGGTATGAAAGATGCTGATTAACTGTACCACCTCCCCATACAGATTCTAAACCATCTGAGAACTACACAGTGGAGTCAGATAGAGATAAAAAACAGACGTTATAGGGCAGCCTGGGTGGCTCAGCGATTTGGCGCTGCCTTTGGCCCGGGGCGTGATCCTGGAGATGGAGGATCGAGTCCCGAGTCCCGCATTGGGCTCCCTGCGGGGAGCCTGCTTCTCCCTCTGCCTGTGTCTCTGCCTGTGTGTGTGTGTGTGTGTGTGTGTGTGTGTGTGTGTGTGTGTCGTGAATGAATAAAATCTTTTTAAAAAGTATTTTAAAAAATAGAGGTTATATAATAGGTAAAGGCTGGAACAACACAGACCTACAGCCAAAATGCACGTTTGCTCCCTGCTTCTCGTCCATCCCTGTCCTCTTTTTCTGTTGCCTGGGTTAAATCCCAGTTCTGACACCCAAGGCAGCAGCAGCACCAAGGGGCAGGTGTCCTGGGGGATTGACTTGGCAATGGTGACATCAGTCTCGTGGCTGCGCCATGAATTTGGACTCTGCTGGGTGGGCTCCAGGTGGAACTGGCCCCACTGTAGGGTCACCAACCCTGCTTATCTCACATGGAAGACCTAGATATCTAGAATGCTGGTGCTAATTCTCCAAATTTGTGCTCAGTAGGCACCATGAAATGTTTTGCCCATTCTGATTATTTACAGCTACTTAAAGTGGGTTCATCTGAGCCCAGGATTCCTCACCTGTGAAGCAGGGGTGGCAATTCCCAACCTGTAGGATGTTGAAGGAATGGACAGGAAGTACTAGGTGAGGGCCTAGCACATAATAGGCCCTCGAGAGGCCATTCTACTTGGGCTGGTTCGGTACCCTAAGAGCTCAAGCTTTCAGTCCAGACTGAGCCCTCTCCCTGTGTGCTGGGCAGGTCTCTCTGTGGGGGCCAATGGTCAGGGCCAAGTGTGTGTCCTAGAGTTGGAGATATGGATTAGGGGAGGATGAGGCCTCAACAGAAGTGCCTCACTGAAAGACAGGCACTGGTACATGGATGGATCCAAAGGGGTTCATTTTGTGGTGGTATTTCAGTCCCATATCTCAGACCTCCTCCAGGTTGGGGGTGCAATGGCTGAGGTTGTTGGCGGAAGTGTCAACACCCAGAGCCTCTCTTCAAGCCCATATTTAGGACTGTCTGAGGCAAAATGATGAAGCAAGCAATGGTTTCCCCAAAGCACCCGCTTCCTCTTTCTGCACCCCATTCTCCTCTTTCTGCACCCTTTCTCAGCCAGCTAGGAAGACAATTGTCTAAAAAATGAATTCAAAGACAGAAGGCAAATCCATCTTGCCATCTGTTGTACAGCCTATGAACTATGAATGGTTTTTATGTTCTTAAATGGTTGAAAAAAAATCAAAAGAATATTTTATGCCATGTGAAAATTATGTGAAATTAAAATTTTATTGGAACATAAATATAGTTTACATATTGTCCGTGGCTGCTTTCAGCAAAGTTGAGTAGTTGTGACAGAAACCTGAAGACCCTCAAAGTCTAAAATATTTATTCTTTGACCTTTTAAGAAAAAGTTTACTGGTGCCCTGTTCTCAAATATTAAGAGATTTATGTGTCATGTGGCCAGCAGGATTTGCTTTCAGAGGGAGAGGCAAACCAGTGGAATTCAGGCCTTGTGGCAAGCCTACAGAGGAGACACTGGGCAGAAAGCTTTCTGATATCCTTCTAATTACACTAGATGGACTGATGGGAGCTAAATGTCTAATATTGCAGGTGGACTTGCTCCTGACCACACAGAAATGGGGCCACTGAAATGCTGAGGTTTGGGCCTCTGACTCATTCCACCAATGAAATGGATTAATAACCTCTGAGGAGACTATCCCAGCAGCCTCCCTGCAGGCTGGTGACAGTGATTTAACCTGAGGCCCTTCACATTCCCAGAGTCCTGCAGAGACTCCCTGAGCAGCACATTCACTGCTCACCTCTCTCTTGTTTCCACAGAATTTGCCTTCTGCCAGGTGGACGCTTCAATTGCACTGACCCTAGCCCTAGCTGTGCTGTGTGACCTGCTCCAGCAGTGGGACCAGCTGGCCCTTGGACTCCCAGTCCTGCTGGGATGGCTGTTGGGAGAGGATGATGATTTCGTGGTCCATCTGGAAAACACACATCAGGTAATCCTAGGGTCTCAGGGTAGAGGTGAAGTCAGAGTGGTGGTGTCCTGAACCCATTAGATGCAGCACACCAGGCTTACTTAGACTTCATGTGGCTGCTGAAAGTGTGCTTCCGGATACTCACATACAGATCAATAACCAATTAGGAAAGTCTCCAAATGACCACAGCAGTCTGCTAGATGCTGCTGGGGGCACTGGGGCAGCTTTCATGCTGACTTTTGAGGTTCCAGTGGTAAGTCTTGAGATCACCAGGGGAGAGGACTTTGAAAAAGACTCCTTGGTTTCTGAAGCCAGCAGGTGTGCCCCATCCCCTAAACTCTCCAACTGCCTAGCTAAAGCCAGCAGTCATGTCTACTCCACACCCAGGACACTCCTTGACTGCTTGGCTCTCATAGCCAAGGGAGTTGGCATCCTGAACTCCGCAGGAAGGTGATGATCAGGAAGGAAGACAGTTCCTGGCAGTCCACCACCCCCAGGGCACTGTACAGACAAGAGACTGAAACACAACCCCAGTCTTCATGGGAACAAAGCCTATTTACTTAGCCTAGAACTTCAACCTGAGGGACAGGCTTCAGATTTCCCACACATCAAGAAGCTCAGGAGGTGTTCCCAGGGAATATAAGCAGAAGGTGACATCCTTTTTTTTTTTTTTTTTAAGATTTTATTTATTTATTCATGAGAGACACAGAGAGAGGCAGAGACACAGGCAGAGGGAGAAGCAGGCTCCCTGCAGGGAGCCTGACATGAAACTCGATCCCAGAACCCCAGGATCAGGCCCTGGGCTGAAGACAGTGCTAAACTTATGAGCCACCAGGGCTGCCCCAGAAGGTGACATCCTTGCATGCCCCCTTGGCCTTGATACAGCTCCACTAGACCTCTCAGAAAAGAGCTAATACGTTCATCTAGAGCCCCATTTTTTTTTCAACAGTTGCCTAGGGGACTAGATCCCTAGATCCCTAGATCTCCTGGCCTGGAGGCCAGCAAAGATTATTGTTGCCATCCCACAGTATAGTATTTTATTTTAAAATCTGCTGCTGGGCAGCCCTGGTGGCGCAGCGGTTTAGCGCCGCCTGCAGCCCGGGGTGTGATCCTGGGGACCCTGGATCGAGTCCCACATCAGGCTCTCTGCATGATGCCTGCTTCTCCCTCTGCCTGTGTTTCTGCCTCTCTCTCTGTCTCTATGAATAAATAAATAAAATCTTTAAAAAAAAAATAAAAAAATAAAATAAAATCTGCTGCTGGGGATCCCTGGGTGGCGCAGCGGTTTGGCGCCTGTCTTTGGCCCAGGGCGCGATCCTGGAGACCCGGGATCGAATCCCACGTTGGGCTCCCGGTGCATGGAGCCTGCTTCTCCCTCTGCCTGTGTCTCTGCCTCTCTCTCTCTCTCTCTCTCTCTCTCTGTGTGTGTGTGTGACTATCATAAATAAATAAAAATTAAAGAAAAAATAAAATCTGCTGCTAATAAAAAAAAATTAAAAATAAAAAAAATTAAAAATAAAATAAATAAATAAATAAAATCTGCTGCTAAAGGGTCTGGCTTCCAATCAACCTGAAAGCAGGTGCTAAATGAGATTCCTCCCCTTGGAGCACTGACAGGTCTTGGCACACAGTCCTATGTCCCTCAACAACAGGGACATATTAAGAATAAAATCAGCAGTTTAGGCAATCAGAAAACTTCAAGAGACAACAAAGAACTAGGGCAAGGTTGAATGAGATGTTTCATCACCCACAAGGCCACCCACTTTTCAAGACTGAGAGCTGCTTTGCCTAATACATAGAAACAAACACAGAGTCAAGCAAAATGAGGAAACAGAAATATGTTCCAAATGGAAGATAAGACAAAACCTCAGAAAAAGACCTTAATGATATGGAGATAAGAAATCTACCTGATAAAGTATTCAAAGTCATGACCATAATGAAACCCACTGAATTTAAGAGAAGAATGGATGAACACAGAACTTCAACAAAGAGAAAACATAAGAAAGTACCAAACAGAAGGCATAGAGCCGAAGAGTACAATAATTAAACTGAGAAATACACTAGAAGGGCTCAACAGCAGACTGGATGAAACAGAAGAATGGATCAGGGAGCTGGAAGACAAAGCATTGGAGCTCATCCAGACAGAGCAGTAAAAAGGGAAACAAATTTTTAAAATGAAGATAACTTAAGAGAGCTATGGGACAGCATCAGGTGGAATGACATTCATACCATAGGAGTCCCAGAAGGAGAAGAGTGAAAGGGGCAGAAAACTAATTTGAAGAAACAATGGCTGAAAACTTCCCTCGCCTGGAAAGGGAAACAGACATCCAGGCCCAAGGAAGCCCAAAGAATTCCAAATAAGATGAACCTAAAGAGATCTACAGCAGACCACATTAAAATGTCAGAAGTTAAAGAGAGAATCTTAAAAGTAGCAAGAGAAAAACATATTGTATAAGGGAAACCCCCTAAGGCTATCAGCAGATTTCTGAGCAGTAATTTTGCAGGCCAGAAGGAAGTAACATGACATACTCAAAACCTTCCAACCAAGAATACTATAACCAGTAAGGTTATCATTCAGAATGGAAGGCGAGATAAAGAATTTTCCCAGACAAGCAAAAACTAAAGGAGTTCGTCACCACTAAACTGGCCTTACAAGAAATGTTAAACGACTCCCTTAAGTTAAAAAAAGAAATGGCACAAATTAATAAGAAAACATATAAAAATAAAAATCCCACTGTAAAAAGTAAATATATAGTAAGGGTAGTAGGTTAATCCCTTACAAAAAGCTACTTTGAAGGTTAAAAGAAAAAAATTAGCAAAATGAACTAAAACTACAATAATTAAGGGAAACATAAAAAGATGTAAAATGTGACATCAAAACATAAAATGGAGTAAAAATGTAGAGTTCTGGAATGTATTCAAATTTAAGTTGCAATCAACTTCAACTAGGCTGTTAAAGGATGATATTTGTGAACCTCACGGTAACCACAGAGCAAAACTTTTTTTTTTTTTTTTAAGATTTTATTTGTTTAGGGCAGCCCGGGGTTGCTCAGTGGTTTATCGCCTCCTTCAGCCCAGGGCCTGATCCTGGAGACCCGGGATCGAGTCCCACGTTGGGCTCCCTAAATGGAGCCTGCTTCTCCCTCTGCCTGTGTCTCTGCCTCTCTCTCTCTCTCTCTCTCTCTCTCTCTGTTTAAAAAAAAAAAAAGAAAAGAGATAAAGATTTTATTTGTTTATTCATGAGAGACACAGAGAGAGAGGCAGAGAGACATAGGTAGCAGGAGGAGCTCCTTGTGGGGAGCCGGATGCAGGACTTGATCCCAGGACCAGGATCACACCCTGAGCCAAAGGCAGATGCTTTTGCTGAGCCACCCAGGCATACCAGCAAAAACTTTTTTTTTTTTTAAGATCTTATTCATTCATTCATGAGAGACACAAAAAGAGAGGCAGAGACACAGGCAGAGGGAGGAGAGGCAGGCTCCATGCAAGGTGCCCGATCTGGGATTCGATCCCTGGAATCTGGGATCAGGCCCTGAACTGAAGGCAGACGCTCAACCGCTGAGCCACCCAGGCGTCCCCCAGCAAAAACTTATTGTACATATATAAAGAATACGAGAAAGGAATCTAAACACTAAAAAAAGTCATCAAACCACAAGAGAAGAAAGGAACATACAGGATGTACAAAACAGCCAGCAAATAGTTAACAAAATGGCAATAAGCAGATACCTATCAATAATTACTTTAAATGTAAATGGACTAATCCTCCAAACAAGACATAGAATGGCTAAATGAATTTTTAAAAAAGATGCATCTGTATACCGCCTGCAGTAAGTATCCTGTGAACTGTCCTGACTTACTTCAGAAGTAAGGACACATGCAGCCCAAAAGTGAAAGGATGTAGAACTACATTTCATGCAAATAGGAACAAAAAGAAAGCTGGTGTAACTATACTCATATCAGACAAAATAGACTTTAGAACAAAGACTGTAATAAAAGAGAAAGAGGGCCACTATATTGATTAAAAGGTCAATCCAGCAAGAATATATAACATTTATAAATATACACCCAACATAGGAGCACCAGAATATATAGAGCAAATAATAACAGACCAAAAGGGAGAAGTTATGACTAATGCAATAATAGGGGACTTTAACATTCCATTGTCATCCAAACAAAATCAGTAAGGAAATGTTGGCCTTAAAGAATGTATTAGACCACATGGACTTAATAGGTATATACAGAACATCCCATCCAAAAGCAGAAGAATACACATTCTTCTCAAGTGCACATGGAACATTCTCCAGGATAGATCATATGTTAGGCCACGAAACAGTAAATACAAAAAGGTAAAAATCATGTCAAGCATCTTTTCTGACCACAATGGTATAAAACTAGAAATCAGTTACAAGAAGAAAACTGGAAAAACTACAAATACGTGGAAATTAAACAACGTGTTACTGAACAACTATTGGATCATTAGAAGAAATCAAAGGAGAAATTAAGCACCTAGAAACAAATGAAAACAGAAACACAACATACCAAAAGGTATGGGATCCAGAAAAAGTGGTTCTAAGAGGGAAGTTCAAGTGATAAATGCCTATTATCAAAAAACAAGAAAGATCTCAAATAAACAACCCATCTTTACACCTCACTGAGAACAAACAAAACCCAAAATTAGGAGGAAGGGAATAATAAAGGATCAGAGTGGAAATAAATGAAATAGAGACAATAAAAAAAATAGAAAAACATCAATGTAACAAAAAGCTGGTTCTTTAAAAATATAAACAAAACAGACAAACCTTAGCTAGATTGGCCATGAAAAACAGAGGGCTCAAATAAATAAAAACAAAAATGAAAAAGGAGAGGTTACAACTGATACCACGGAAATACAAAGGATCATAAGAGGCTACCGTGAATTGAATGACAGTGCTAAGGATGTGTCTTGGGGCAGGTGGAAAGGGAATGGGAGATGTATATAGGAAGACAGGGAAGCACTTCCCTCTCTGTATTTCTGAAATATTTCACTAAATGATACTTAACAACACATGGTGCTAATGTTTTCTGAACCATTCTATTGGATTATTTTTAGCTGGTTGCAACCCATACTGATCTCATGACCTTTTAAAGGTTATACAGCTGGCACTATGAAAACCACTTTCCCATAGACCTATCCACTTGGTCAGTGAATGCCGTTGACTAGCAATTATTGGCTTTTGTGTGTGTAAAGGTTATGGAGTAACACCTTTGTAAAAAATATTATGGTTCTAAGAACTGGCTGATAAAACCAGGGCTTTAGGGGCATTTCTTTACATTTTTCTCCTCTGTTAAACTGGAAGCCTTGAGAGGACAAGGACTATTCATTTATCATTGTGCTGCCAATACCTAATCGTGGTGGATGTTCAATAAATAGAGTGAATAAACAGTTTGATGAATGTTACTAAAGTACTATTGTTTGAATCCATTTTTCTGAAATACTGGAAGTTATTTTTAAGACATTCTTATTTATGATGAATTTAGAAAGGAACTTGTGAAGGATAAAAAAAGAGAGACTACTGTGAACAATTATAACCAACAAACTGGACAACTGAGAAAGGATGAATAAATTCCTAAAAACTTGCAATCTTCTAAGACTGAATCATAAAGAAATAAAAAATCTGAATAGACCAATTACTGGGAGACAATTAAGAACCTCCCAACAGGGACGCCTGGGTGGCTCAGTGGTTGAACATCTGCCTTCAGCTCAGGTCATGATCCCAGGGTCCTGGGATCGAGTACTGCATCACGCTCCTCGCAGGGAGCCTGCCTCTCCCTCTGCCTGTGTGTCTCTGCCTCTCTCTGTGTGTCTGTGATGAATAAAGAGAATCTTTAAATTTAAAAAAAAAAAGAAAAACCTCCAAACAAACAGAAGTCCAAGACCAGACAGCTTCATCGATAATTCTACCAAACATTCAACGATTTAATACTTAGCCTTTCAAACTCTTCCAAAAAATTAAAGAGGAGGGAGTGCTTCCAAGTTCATTTTACAAGGCCAGTATTACCCTGATACCAAAACCAGATAAGGAGCTCACTTCAGCAGCACATACACCAAAACCAGATAAGGACACCACAAAAAAGAAAGAATGAAAGAAATTTATAGGCCAATATCCCTGATGAACATAGATGCAAAATCCTCAACAAACTATTAGTAAACTGAGTTCAACAATACATTAAAAGTATCATATACCATAATGAAGTGGGATTTATTCCAGGGATGCAAGAGTGATTCACCATCTACAAATTAGTCATTGTGATACACAATATTAACAAAAGGAAAGATAACAATGATGATCATCTCATCATTGAGATGCAGAAAAGCATCTGACAAAATTCAACATCCATTTATGGTTTTAAAAAGCTCAACTAAGTGGGTACAAAGGGTACATATCTTAACATAATGAAAGACATATATGACAAACCCGCAGCTAATACTCAATGGATAAAACCTGAAAGCTTTTCTCTAAGATCAAGAACAAGACAAAGATGCCCACTCTCACCACTTTTATGGAACAGTCTTGGAAATGCTAGCTACAGCAATTACACAAGAAAAAGAAAAGGCATATAAATTGGAAAGGAGGAAGGAAAATTGTCACTGTTTGCAGATGACTAAAGACTCCACAAAAAAAAAAAAAAAACCTTTTAGAACTAATAAATGAATAAATAAAGTTGCATGATACAAAATCAATGTAAAAAATCTGTTGCATTTCTATACACTAATAACAAACTATCAGAGAAATAAAAAAAAAACAGTTCCATCTACAGTTGCATAAAAAAGAAAAAATATCTAGGAATACAATTAACCAAGGAGGTGAAAAACCTTATAAAACTATAAGATATTGATTAAAGAAATTAAAGAAGACACAAATAAATGGAAAGATATTATTCCATGCTGTTGGATTGGAAGAATTAATATCATTAAAATATCCATTTGCCCAAAGCAGTCAACAGATTCAATGCAAACCCTATCAAAATTCCAACAGTATTTTTCACAGAACTAGAACATATATTCTAAAATTTATAGGGAACCACCAAAGACCCCAAGACCCCAAGCAACCAAAACAGTCTTGAGAAAGAACAAAGCCAGAGATATTATGTGCCTTGACTTCAAACTATACTACAAAGCTATAGTAATCAGAACAGTATGGCAGTGGCACAAAAACAGACATAAAGATCAGTGGAGCAGAATAGAGAGCCCAGAAATAAACCTAAATTATGGGTATACAATGAGGAATGAATAGTCTCTTCAATAAATAGTATTGGGAAAACTGGACAGCTACATGCAAAAGAATGAAATTGGACCACTTTCTTATGCCATATACAAAAATTAACTCAAAATGGATTAAAGACCTGATTGTAGGGATCCCTGGGTGGCACAGCGGTTTGGCGCCTGTCTTTGGCCCAGGGCGCGATCCTGGAGACCCGGGATCGAATCCCACGTCGGGCTCCCGGTGCATGGAGGCTGCTTCTCCCTCTGCCTGTGTCTCTGCTCTCTCTCTCTCTCTCTCTCTCTCTCTCTCTCTCTCTGTGTGTGTGACTATCATAAATAAATAAAAAAATTAAAAAAAAGACCTGATTGTAAGATCTGAAACTATAAAACTGCTAGAATAAAATACAGGTTGTAAACTCCTTTTGACATCAGATGTTTTTATGAATCTGACTCCAAAAGCAAGGGGAAACAAAAGCAAAAATAAACAAGCGGGACTAAATCAAACTAAAAAGCTTCTGCACAATGAAGGAAATCATCAACAAAATGAAAACAGAACCTACCAAATGGGAGAAGATATTTGCAAATTATATATATATATATATATATCAAAAATATATATATATATATATATATCCAAATACATATATATATCCAAAAATTATAAAGAAATCTTACAACTCAATAACAACAAAAAAATATCTGATTAAAAAATGGGCAGAGGGGGCAGCCCCGGTGGCACAGCGGTTTAGCGCCGCCTGCAGCCCAGGGCCTGATCCTGGAGACCCAGGATCCAGTCCCACATCGGGCTCCCTGCGTGGAGCCTGCTTCTCCCTCTCCCTCTCTCTCGCTCGCTCTGTGTCTCTCGTGAGTTAATAAAATAAAATCTTAAAAGAAAAAAATGGGCAGAGGATCTGAATAGACATGTTCCCAAAGGAGACATACGGCTGGCCAACAGGTACCTGAAAAGATGCTCAGCATCTCTAATCATCAGGGAAATGCAAATCAAAGCCACAATGGGGTATCACCTAACACCAGAGTCAGAATGACTATTATCAAAAAGATAAGTGTTGGCAAGGATGTGGAGAAAAGAGACCTCTCATGCACTATTGCTGGGAATGTAAATCTGTGCAGCCACTCTAGAAAACAATATGGAGATTCCTCATAAAATTAAAAATAGAACTACCACAGGATCTAGCAATTCCAATGCTGAGCATCTACCCAAAGAAAATGAAAACACTCATTTGAAAAGATACATACACTACTCTGTTCACTGTAGCATTATTTACAATAGCCAAGATATAGAAGCAACCTAAATGTGTCCTTCAGCGGATGAAAAGATAAAGGGTGTGTGTGTCTGTGTGTGTGTGTACACATACATGCATACATTGTGTATCTATTGGGTGTGTGTGTTTTCATATATATATATATATATATATACACACACACACACACATATATATATGAATACTACTCAGCCATGAAGAAGAATGGAATGTTGCCATTTGAGACAACACAGATGGACCTTGAGGATATTATACTAAGAGAAAGAAGTCAGAGGAGAACAGATACCACCTGATTTCACTTAATATGTGGAATCTAAAAACAAACAAAACAAAACCGAACCCAGACTCCTAGAGAACAGATCGGTGGTTGCCAGAAAGAAGGGGGGTGAAAAGATAGGAAAGGAAGAGGCCCCTTGGAAGTTGAGGGCTTAATTATGGAGAATGCTTATTACTGAGCGTTGCAATAACGAGAGGCTCGTGCCACAGTTAGGTCTGAAGGTGAAACAATTCCAGAGAATCAGGATCCTTCCAGGGTATTTATTGCTTAGAGAAAACTGTTCGCCCCCTCCAGATGAGTCAGCAGACAGGGAAACTGAGGACCGAGGCAGGCAGCAAAAGCATCTTGTCAACTGAAATCTATATCCATCCACCAGTGTCTGATTCAGCTGGCCCTCTTGACATACCCAACAGGCCAAGAGTTCAAAAAGCAGCTTGTTTATGGGAAATTTGAAGACAAGATAAAGTGTCTGTGATAAAATAACCTTGAAAAATCCGCAGCATCACAGAAATTTGGTTTCATACTTAGAGGGTAGTGTCTCGTGTTTGGCAATCCTTTGCTCTTTGTTCTGCTGCTGAGATTTCTCTTTCCTCCCCACCCCCACCCTCTGATTTCTAGACGCACCTTTGGGTCTAGGGCCCACTCCCCTGTTGAGGTCCCCTTCTCAACAGCAGGCCCCCAAAATATCTTGGCTCGGCACCATAAACACATCTTTATCAAAGGTCATGTTAAGTCTGGGGAGGAAAATTCCTTCCTGGTAGAGCAGAACAGCAAATGAAAATAGAAGGTGACCTTCCAGGCTGCGAGTGGCATCTGTATGTGGGTGCTGACAGGCGGGAGCGGGCCCTCCCTCAGGAGGGGGTGGGACTCTGGTCTGGATTGGAGCTGTCGACATCCCCGGTTATGCTGACTTTGGGCTTTGTCTTTTGATTTAGGTGGAAGACTACCTGTTTGAAAAAGCAGAAATCAACTTTTGGGCCGAGACCCTGATCTTCGTGAAATACCTCCACGAGCACCTCCTCCGTCTCCTCTCCACGTCCAGCCACCGTCCCCTCAGCCCTGAAAGCCTCCGCCATCTCCGCAGGACAGCATCAGAGCAGGGCCACCTCCTTTCGCAGCTCTTCAGAGAGCTGCCCCCAGCTGCTGAGTTCTTGAAGACCGTGGAATTCACACGACTGCGCATTCAGGAGGAGAGGACTCTGGCTTGCCTGCAGCTGCTGGCCTTTCTAGAAGGAAAGGAAAGGGAAGATACCCCCGTCCTCAGGGCTTCAGACTCACCTGCAGAAGCGAATCAGTTTACTCTTGCCAAAACAGAAACAGCTCATTGAAGAAAGAAGACTTTGGGGGGTGGGGTGGGGGCAGACCATTCCCCCCACTAAATCTGCCAGGAACCCGTGGAACATAAATTCAAGTATGTTCTCCCTTTGTGGGTCTAGTCTCTCTGTCCCTTCCTGCAGAGTTTTTCTCCATTCATTCAGGGCAACCCGGGTTTTTGCAGCTACTATAGGAAGTGAGGCTACCACGTTGAATATTTACTCTGCTCCCAGGTGCTGGCCACCTGCAGACCTGAATTCGCCTTTTTTCTTCCTCCTCGACCTCGCACATCCAGGCCTAGCCAGCCGGCATTTTCTGCGAACTGACTGTACAGAACTGGATTTTAACTCATGATTTTCTCTTCTTTTTCCCACTGCATAGAAGAGCTGGATTCGTTGGCAGGCAGCCCATTGGGTCAGAATTCCAAATTTTATTCCATTTTAGCTAAGGCAGAAGTATGTTCCGAATGTTGGCTCCTGGGAGAATTCAAGATCAACTGTATAGAAATAGTTTTGTTTTTACTCTCCACATGTGCCCAAGCCCTGTGGCGACCTGCACATGCCATCCGAATTATTAAAAGAGCTCCTACCCACAAAAGTGTTTGTGCTAAGGCCAGGAAACCTGATTTTACCACCCACTGAAAGCACAGACCCTTGGTTGTTAGAAGGAAGCACAGGGAAGGGAAAGACAGAGTAAATGATTTCTTCGATGTCTACACTGACTACTGTCATTTTCTCGGTGGCAATAACAAGATTCTCATTTAAGATGTCAGAAAACAGGGACGCCTGGGTGGTTCAGCGGTTGAACATCTGCCTTTGGCTTGGGGTGTGATCCCAGAGTTCCGGAATCGAGTCCCACGTTGGGCTCCCTGCATGGAGCATGCTTCTCCCCTGCCTATCTCTCTCTCTCTCTCTCTCTCTCTCTCTCTCTCTCTCTCTCTCTGTGTGTGTGTGTGTGTGTGTCTCTCATGAATAAATAAATAAAATATTTTTTAAAAAATCTTAGAAAACACATTTATCCATTTCAGTGTGTGAATCTAGACGCCTGGCCTTTGGAAGCCGGACCCAGCCCTGTTCCTCTGATATCCAGCAGGTGTCGCTCTTGCATACATTTTGCTGCTAGTCCTGTGTTTCATTGCCTTGCCATTTTCTACTTAAGATTTCAGAATAAAAAAAAAAAAGATTTCAGAATAAGCATTACCTACAGACAGCTATCTTGAAGTTCATAGCTTGGATTGGCCATAGCCTCATCCATATTCATTTTTCATCCTGGAAAAAGCCATTTTAGTATTACGTAAAGTTGGTCTAGCCTTTTTGGTATGTCAATAGTTTTGGATTTTTTTAAGATTTTTTTTTAATTTATTCATGAGAGGTGGGGGGGAGGCAGAGGGGGAAGCAGGATCCCTGCAGGAAGCCTGATGTGGGACTCAATCCTGGGACCCTGGGATCACACCTGAGCCAAAGGCAGATGGTTCAACCACTGAACCACCCAGTCATCCCAGTAGTTTTAAATACTTCTCAGGTGAGCGGTCACTTGGAATTATGTTAAAGGGGCAGCTTATTATTTTTTTTAAGATTTTTAAAATTTATTCCTGAGACAGAGGCAGAGAGAAGCAGGCTCCATGCTGGGAGCCCGACGTGGGACTTGGGACTCGATCCTGAGTCTCCAGGATCACGCCCTGGGCTGAAGGCGGCGCTAAACCGCTGAGCCACCCGGGCTGCCTTAAAGGAGCAGTTTAGAGGAGTGAGAGTTTGATATAATTTTCTACTGCAGAAAGGCTTGTATTTTGAATGTGTTCTCTTTAAAAGAAAACCACCTAATACTAAAAATACAGCTGTGCTGGAAATGTAGAGAAAAGGCAGGGAATGAAGGGAAACCTAGAGTCCAAAGTTTTGTCCTAAAGAGAACAGGAGATTCTTGGTGGTTTTGCACTATTCCACTCAAAATGTGTTTTTTGTGATTCTGAATAAATTACCTGTTGGGCATCTGTGTAGTCCACACTTGGTGGAAAGTTGCCAGTCTAACCTTTTCTTCTTTTTTTAAGATTCTATTTATTTGTTTGTTTGTTTGTTTGTTTGTTTATGAGAGACACAGAGAGGAGCAGAGACACAGCAGAGGAGAAGCAGGATCCTCAATGGGAGCCCCATGCGGGACTCAATCCAGAGACCCCAGGACCACACCCTGAGCTGAAGGCAGATGCTCAACCACTGAGCCACTCAGGCATCTCCCCAACATTTCTTTTTGTTCTGCGAAGACCTGACTGGGTGAGAAGTCAGGGAATCTTTGGCATGATGCAGTGATGACCATGGTTCAATAACTATGAAACTGGCCCAGCAAAGCCCAGCTCACTGGAAAAGACCAGCATTCCTTTTTTCTCCATTTAAAATGAAATAAAAGCAGTTACATAATAATAAAAACACTTTATACCAGCAGGTACTCTGTACCAAAACCTGTTCTATAGCATATTTACACGTAATCCCCAGGTTCCTTCTACCAAGCCTGCAGAGTGGGTGTTCTCAGGGCTGCCGACTGGGAATCACCCCAGATTTTGATGTTGGCTGGCTGTGGCCAGCCTGGAAGGACAGGAGGGACAGATGTTTCTCCTGGTTTTGTATGTGAAATCTTGTTACTGACCTACAATAGCAGTGGCTAAGGAAATGGCTGTTTCACATTGCCTGATGCATTCCCAGGAGAATCTTGGAGTACTACTGTCAGGGCTACCCTGGAACTCCCGTGTTTGGGGTCATTCTGACAAAGAACAAAACAACAGTTGGGGTTCTTGGGCACTCCTGGCTGTGAGTGTCAGCCACAGTTGCCCAGCTCTGCCTGGGGGCCAGTGTAGGCCGGGTGCTGCAATCACCCAGAGTGAAGGAGTCACCTGTTCTGAGGTCACTGCCCTTGGCTCCAAGCTAGAGGGTCCAAGATTCCGGGCCCCGCAGGTCTGCACGCATGATTCTGTGCACCTCTACCCATCTGGCCACAGCTCAGAGACCTGGCTATCTCCATTTCTATGCTTTGTCAACTTGGTTTAATAAACAATAAGGGTTATACCTGTTGCTCCTTTATACATCTTAACAGGTAACTCATTTGCACCTTGACAAAGGTGAGAGATGAGCAAAGCAGGAATTCTCTTAGTTTTATAATGAAATCCACGTACCAAAGAGATTATGTGATTTGCCTAGGATCACATGGCCTGGAAGGGGCAGGGCCTGAACTCCAGCCCTGTTTCTGATCCTAAAGTCCTTGCAGCCCTGTGTGGACTCTAGCTCTGTGGGTGGCGGTGTGGGGAGTTACAGCAGCCAACGGACCTCTGAGCAGTCAGTTCCAGGAGTGACAGGCCCGGCGCGTCCCCGTCCAGGTTCACGAAGGGAAACAACCACGAGGAAACAGCGAGAAAGATCGACTTTGGGAAGGGGCGTGGGCTGCTTCCTCCCCTAGAGGGCCCTGGGCCTTCCAGCAGGCCGACTGCAGCCTAGGCCGCCAGGTGTGCGAGATCATGGGCCCGCTCCACTTTCTTTGGCAGCTTGTGTTTCCACGCGGAGAGAGGTGTCCTGGACCAGCCCCCAGATCGGCCCGAACCGGGGCGTCAGCCGCTTTAGCCTAACTGGGCGCTGGGGGGGGGGGTCCGCCCCATCCCCGGAGGGAGCCCGGTGGCCAAGGCATTTCCCAGGCTTTTTAGGGTGTGGAACCGGCGGGCGAGCCCGCGTGAGCGTCCTCGGTGCCCAGCCCCGCCCGGCCGCCGGCCCGCCCCAGCCACAGGCTGCGGCGCCCCCAGCGGCCGGGGAGGGAAGGGGCGTAGAGGGCGCGCCCCAGCCAGCAGCTAGCTGCGCCCCGACTCCGGGAGGGCTGGGGAAGGCCGGGCCGAGGGGCGGCCGGACGCAGTGGCGGGAAGTCGCCTCCAGGCCTGCGCTGCCCTCCCGCCGGCCCTCCCGGCCTCCCAGCCGGCTCCCCCGCCCGGGACGCTCCGCGCCACTCCGCGCCTTTGGCCCAGGCTCAAGGTCTTGTGATGTGATTAGCAATGCCAGCGCCTTGTCCTCAGACACTCGGCCCAGCCCGGCAGGCCTCGGCGCTGAAGCCCTGTTTACTGCAGCCTGGGCGGGGAGGGGGGCGGAGAATCGGGCCCAGGCTCCTCCGGGCGAGACTGCCGCGGCGGCCGCCCGCGTGGCCGCTCCCGCCCCCACCCCCACCCCCACCCCCACCGCGCCTCCACGTGCAGTCGGGATGGAGCCCCCGCCCCCCGACCGGAGCACCCTTTGCAAGCCTGCCGGGCCGCGCGGACGGTTGCAATATTCTTGCATTTTGCAATTCCCGCGCCCCGTATAAAAACCCAGAGTGGGAGATAAAAGCTCCGCAATTTTGCCTAGCAGGATCGGGCGGGGACAGACACGTCCAGGGCCGCAGAACCCCGGCCACGTTAAACGTGCAGGGGATTTCCAACAGCGCGGCCCCGGCGGAGGGGGGCCTTATCTTCCCGCCGCCACCCAGCAGCACCCATCAGGGACGAGCTCTCCACGCCGCCGCGGGCGCCGCGGCAGCCCGCCCCGCCCCGAGGCCTCCCGCCCCCTCCCCCCCAGGAAAAAAAAATTGGCGGCGGCCAATGGGAGGCCACGGAGGCGCTTGACGTCCGCGAGCCGGCGGGCGGCGTTGCCTGGAGACCCCGGCGGGGTCAGCGTTCCGTCCCCTCCCCCGGCACGCCCGCCCCGCCGCTGCCGCGCTCCCGGGCTCTATATAGGGCGCGCGCTCGCGGGCCGCGGAGTTCCAGCAGTCCGCGAGCTGTCGTCGGCTCCGCGCGGGGGGGGGGCGGGCCGGGCACCCCGGGGCGCGGAGGAGCGCTCCCTGCTTCCCTCTCCTTTCCCCCCACTCCGCACTCCCGGGCAGCCCCGAGAACGGTCCGCGCCGCTCCCCCGTCCCTGCCGTCGCGTCCCCCGGCAAACTTTCGGTCCCTCCCCCGCCCCTCACCCGTTATTCGTCGTGGCTCGAGCCCGGCCGCGCCGCCCCGAGGGCTCCTCCGGACCTCCCCGCCTGCAGCTCCGACCATTACGGGATCCAGGAACATGTCGACCACACTTCTGTCCGCCTTCTACGACATCGACTTCTTGTGCAAGGTACGCGAGGGAGCGCGGAGGAGGGAGGAAGGCGGGCAGGCGTTCAGACGTCGCCGCTGCCCTCGGCTTCGGGGGCAGCCCTCCCCGCCTTGACTTTGGGGCCGCTGCAGCGTGTGCTCGTGCCGTGTGGGCGGGGAGGAGGACGGGGAGGAAGGGCAGAGCGAGCCGCCGCCGCCGCTGGCCTCCTCCGGCGCCGACCGCGGCCACGCTGCCCGGGGCTTCCCGGACGGGCTCTGCGCCGCCCAGGCCGGCGGCCCGCGGGCTGAGGATCCCCGGTCGAAACCGAGCGTGGCTCGGGGTGGGAGTCGGCCCCTCCCCGCGCGAACCTGATGGGTTTGCTTTTTTTTTTTTTTTTTTTTTTTTCTTAACTTTGCGCGTGTACGGGTGGAGGGTGGCGGCCGAGTCGAAAAACCTGCAGAAAGGAAGAAGACTCGGGAGGCCTGAAGTTCCTCCGCGGCTCGGCCCGACTCTCCCCTCCCCTCCCTTTGCGTATCTCATCCCGTCCTCGCCCCCCCTCCTTTTGGCAGACGGAGAAATCCCTGGCCAACCTCAATCTGAACATGCTGGACAAGAAGGCGGTGGGGACGCCCGTGGCCGCCGCCCCGAGCTCGGCCTTCACGCCGGGCTTTCTCCGACGGCACTCGGCCAGCAACCTGCACGCGCTCGCCCACCCCGCGCCCAGCGCCGGCAGCTGCTCGCCCAAGTTCCCGGGCGCGGCTAACGGCGGCAGCTGCGGCAGCGGGGCGGCGGGCGGCCCGGCCTCCTACGGCACCCTCAAGGAGCCGTCGGGGGGCGGCGGCACCGCCCTGCTCAACAAGGAGAACAAGTTTCGGGACCGCTCGTTCAGCGAGAACGGCGAGCGCAGCCAGCACCTCTTGCACCTGCAGCAGCAGCAGCAGCAGCAGCAGCAAAAGGGGGGCGGCGGCGGCGGCGGCTCCCAGATCAACTCGACCCGCTACAAGACTGAGCTGTGCCGGCCCTTCGAGGAGAGCGGCACGTGCAAGTACGGCGAGAAGTGCCAGTTCGCGCACGGCTTCCACGAGCTGCGCAGCCTCACCCGGCACCCCAAGTACAAGACGGAGCTGTGCCGCACCTTCCACACCATCGGCTTCTGCCCCTACGGGCCGCGCTGCCACTTCATCCACAACGCGGACGAGCGGCGGCCCGCGCCGTCGGGGGGCGCCTCCGGGGACCTGCGCGCCTTCAGCGCGCGGGACGCGCTGCACCTGGGCTTCCCCCGCGAGCCGCGGCCCAAGCTCCATCACAGCCTCAGCTTCTCGGGCTTCCCGTCGGGCCACCACCAGCCCCCGGGCGGCCTCGAGTCGCCGCTGCTGCTCGACAGCCCCACGTCGCGCACGCCGCCGCCGCCGCCCTCCTGCTCCTCGGCCTCGTCCTGCTCCTCGTCCGCTTCGTCCTGCTCGTCGGCCTCCACGCCCTCGGGCGCCCCGACGTGCTGCCCCTCGGCCTCGGCCGCGGCCGCGGCGGCGCTGCTGTACGGCAGCGGGGGCGCCGAGGACCTGCTGGCGCCGGGCGCCCCGTGCGCGGCCTGCGCGTCCGCCTCGTGCGCCAACAACGCCTTCGCCTTCGGCCCGGAGCTGAGCAGCCTCATCACGCCGCTCGCCATCCAGACGCACAGCTTCGCCACGGTGGCGGCCGCGTACTACCGCAGCCAGCAGCAGCAGCAGCAGCAGGGCCTGGGGCCGCCCGCGCCGCCCCCCGCGCCGCCCGGCGCGCCCCTCCCCGCCAGCGCCGCCGCGCCGCCCTCGCCGCCCTTCAGCTTCCAGCTGCCGCGCCGCCTGTCCGAGTCGCCCGTGTTCGACGCGCCCCCGAGCCCCCCGGACTCGCTGTCGGACCGCGACAGCTACCTGAGCGGCTCCCTGAGCTCGGGCAGCCTCAGCGGCTCCGAGTCCCCCAGCCTCGACCCCGGCCGCCGCCTGCCCATCTTCAGCCGCCTGTCCATCTCCGACGACTGAGGCAAGAGGGCGCCAGCGAGGAGGAGGAGGAGGAGGAGGAGGAGGAAGGGAAGGCCGGGCCGGGCCGCCCCGGGGGTGTTGGAGGGCGCCCCTGCCGCCCGCAGCCCCCCCCCCCCGCCCCCGGGAGCGGGGGGTGACCGGCCGCCAGCAGACTGCGGGGCCGCACCGAGCACTTGGACTCGAACTTGTGTGCCGGGAGGGGCCCCCACCCCTCCCCCTTTCGGTTTCCTCTCTTTTTTTTTTTTTTTAATTATTATTTTTATTATTATTACGAAGTTTTCATTCTTGTTGAGCAAAACAAAGCCAACGAACTTTTGTATTGATGAACAAAAATATTCACAACAGGGCAGTTGTGATGCGAACAGAACAAAAAAAGAAAAAAGAAAAACCAAACACTTAAACTTTTTTAGGTCTCCTAGGAGTTTGGGACTTTAGGAAAAAAAATAAAATCAACCCAGCACCAGCAGCTACCAACCACCATTCCATATCTTCACTTGAAAAGCATTAGTTACAGTCCAGATGTGGGAACTCTTATCTTGAAGTTCCTAATTGTCGTTTGTCTCAGACCAGTGTAAACAAACCAGCCAGCCACCACCTTGCTTAAACCTCTAAGCTTCTGGAATCCAACATTCTACCAGGAATATGCCTTGATTGTAGTCCTCAGCTCCCTAGGTTTTAGTTTGTTTGACACCAAGTTTTTTTTGTCTGGAAAAAAAAAAAAAAACACCTGCATTCCAAAGTTTCCTACTGGTTACTGGTTTCATTGCCACCACTTAGTGGATGTTTAATTTTAGAACCATTTTGTCTGCTCTTTCTGGAAGCCTTGGGCAGAGCTTAGTTTGTAATCGTTGGGGGAATAACTGCTGAATTTTTAGCTGTTTTGAGTTGATTCGCACCACTGCACCACAACTCAATATGAAAAAACTATTTAACTTATTTATTATCTTGTGAAAAGTATACATTGAAAATTTTGTTCATACTGTATTTATCAAGTATGATGAAAAGCAATAGATATATATTCTTTTATTATGTTAAATTATGATTGCCATTATTAATCGGCAAAATGTGGAGTGTATGTTCTTTTCACAGTAATATATGCCTTTTGTAACTTCACTTGGTTATTTTATTGTAAATGAGTAAAAAAAATCTTAATTTAAGAGATTGTATGTAATATTTATTTCATTAATTTCTTTCCTTGTTTACGTAAATTTTGAAAGATTGCATGATTTCTTTACAGAAATCTATCCTGATGCTGTGGAAGTAGTTTGAGGAATATCTTATATGAGTTTTCTTAGAATGTATAATGGTTGTAGCCCATCCAACTTTATAAAGAAGTGACCACATACTTTGCAAATCAGGCTTCAATGTGGCATGCTTTTCTCATTCCAACTTTTTAAATTAGCAAAAAAAAGTCTTTTGTTTATTCTACCAATTCTACTGTGACATAACTCTGCGTATAAAGACATGTAGCAATAATGGGGTGGGGGGTTAGTCTCACAGTGCCTTTGGAAGGGCCAGAACTTGCCTTAAATCTTCCTCAACCAAATAAGTATTTTTCTATTAGTGCTTGAGAGAATTTGAATGTAGGATGGGTTCAACTGCACAAAAGGAAAAGATATTTACCACTTTTTTTTATATAGATCTAAAGTGAAGAGGCCACCTCTTAGTGCTAAAAAATGGTATGTAGTACATGAATATGCCTTGTTTCATTACAGAAAATTCCAAAACTTGTACTTTTTTTTTTTTTTTTTTTTTTTTTTTTTGCGTGTGTAGAAAGGCAGGAATGCTTTCCTGGACAGCGGATGAATGAGCAGTAGCTTTAGTTTGTTTGTACGTAGGTACAGTTGGAGCACTCTGTATGTATGTACTCTGGACTACTTTGACAGAAGTAGGTTTTTGAATGTAACAAGATAAGTCAACTTGAGTTGTAATATATTTTGGGGAATCAGTTCACTACAAATTGTGACTGTAAACATTGTACTGTAAATGTTTTGTAGTTTCCCCCAATAAAATTTTTGGGAAAAAAGGTATTAATCTGTAAGATTCGTTTTTTAAACCAGAAACCTTGAGCATTAGCTTGGCACCACTGTCAGGCATTGCCCAGGCCTTGGAGGGGCTGGGGGGCGGGGGTGAGATTTTGGAAGCTTGGCACAGTCGGGGTTCGGAAGGGCCTGCCCCTGTGTATTTTATAGCAAGTTCTTTTAGCTGAAGGAAAATAATTATTTGGACTGTCAAGGGCATTAGTTAGCTGTTCCCCTTGGTAATAAGATGCATCCCCGTGTTGGCTGACTGGCTGGTGGCAGGACCTGGCTGAAGGCCTGAAGGGGTGTGGCCCGCCTGTGAGTCACCAAGTGGATCACGTGTCTGCGGTGGCAGCTGAAGGTCCTTTTTTTGGGGGGGGGGGACGCCCAGGGAATGGACCGGCTAGAGCTAGGGTGGTGAAAGGAGGGAGGGTGCTGTGGGCCCCCCCCAGAGGGCTCAGCCGCAGAAGGGGAGCCGATTGGCCTAGACCCAGCCTCTCAGGCTGGAGAAGCAGGGTTTTGCCTGGACTTTGCCTGGTTGTGTCCTTGTCCGGGGAGGAAGACGAAAACAGGTCAAACTTATATCTGGGTAATGTTTGTTTATGCGGACAGCTTCCTCTGGGAATGAGCACACACGTTATTTATGCAAAAGGATTAGTGTCTGCTTCGGGCGACTGTATGTAAGTGGCCAGAAAGCAAATTCAACCCAGGCCTCTTAGAAAAAGTTTAAAAAAAAAAAAAAAAAAAAGGCCACAATTTGCCGATTCACACACAATTGAACAAAACCTTGGTATGGTGGGTTGTTTTTTTTGTTTGTTTGTTTTCCTACAATCAACTTTTAATACTTCAAAATGAGGTTCATCAATCAATTCGTGTTTTTCCCTGCTCCATCCTCCCCGCCTCCCCCTCCCCCAGCAACCCCCAGTTCAGACACTTTTTCCAAAGTAGGTAAAAGATTTAGCAATAGTTTGTTTTCTTATCTACAACAGCTGGGCCCTATCAACCACTGCTTGTACCCCTCTGCCGGGTCTCCTGTGTCTCCCAGCTGAGCCGGGTGGGTGGGGGGTGGTCTGGAGCCCGCCGGGCCCGGGCAGCTGTTTCACGTTAGCGATGATTGCGCTGGTGTTAACTGGAGCGTTTTGGTGCTTGGCTGCCAAAGGGGCTGGGGAACAGTTTCAAAGTTCTCCCAGATGCTGGGCCCCTGGCGAAGGGCTTCGCCTTGGGGGAGGGGAAGCCTGAGGCCAAGGAGGGCCTGGCCGGCCAGACCCTGCGGGCTCCCTGTCCTCTTCACCATAAAGAATGTGCAGTGGGGAGGAAAAGTCTGAAATGCGCTGCTATTTAGGCCAAGCTGCATTTCAAAGGCCTTGTTTCCACCTCATTCCAAAACTTATTTTTCTAAACAAGGACTTTTGATGGGCTGGAATGTCAGACTTGTTGGGGTAAGCCACATCATTTTTAAAAATTGGGTTGTTTGAAAGCCCAACTGCTAGGATTTGATGTTTTGTGTCTGAGACCCAGTGGAGCATGGCCAGCTGAGGGGGAATCATTCAGAAATTTCCTCTTGCCACAGATCAATGGAGGGTATATAGGTCATTGTCTTTCTGCAGCGGCTGGAATGAACAGCAAACAAAACTCTACTATTGCTCGATCACCCTTAGGAAAGTCTCCTTGCAAACCAAGGGGACTAGAAGTAAAAATTGCAAGTAAGGACAAGCTGGGATTCCTGTCACGGGCCAGGGAGCGGAACTGAAGCTCACTGGGTCCAAGACTGTGTTATACTCAAGATAAAATTCTTTTGCAGCCAATTGTGAAAATGAGCCCAGGATGGGAGGGTGTTGAGAATGTCTTAATAGTAGCGTTGCCACTGGCTGTTTGAAAAGGAAGGTTTTTTTGTTTTGTTTTGTTTTTTTTTTTTTTTTTTTTTGAGTAGCCCATTGAGTAGTATGTGCCACTTTCTAGATTATTTCAGAGAAGGAATGCCCATATGGACATATTTGCCACCCCTCACTCTGAATCTACTGCTAAGTATATAGAAGGGAAAAACAACAACACACACACACAAACGATTGAAAGGCCAAAGCCAGGGATCCCTGGGTGGCGCAGGGGTTTGGCACCTGCCTTTGGCCCAGGGCGCGATCCTGGCGACTCGGGATCGAATCCCCCGTCGGGCTCCCGGTGCATGGAGCCTGCTTCTCCCTCTGCCTGTGTCTCTGCCTCTCTCTCTCTCTGTGTGTGTGTGTGACTATCATAAATAAATAAAAATTTAAAAAAAAATGAAAGGCCAAAGCCCCCCCCACCTGCCCATGGGAATAGACCTGGGATTTGGGGGTGGGGGGAGATTAGGAGCCCTGTGGCTGCTCAGGAACCTGGATAAAAGGGCCAGGCCTTGTGGGGAGCCCAGAGAAGGAAGGACAGACAAACACAGCTCTTGACCCCAGGTCTGGCCCAGCAAGAAGATGGATGCTGGGTACTAAAATCTGCTTGTGGGGGGTGGGGTTCCTGAGAAGACCTCCCCTCAGGCTGGACATGTTTGAGGAGGACACCCTAGAGCATTTGAACCTGGAGGGAATCACCCCCAGGCACTTGGTGTACACCAGCTTTGCTTGCAGTGACAAGAGCAAAGATCTAGAGGTGACTCTGGCCAAGTCGTCTTGAAAGCAGAAGTTGGGTCTCTGAGCTTTCCTTGGGCTGGTGACTTAGGGCAGCCAAAGGAGTCCCTGGAGACTGAGCCACAGCCAGGCTCCCCTTCCATAAGAGGACCAAAGCCACTCTCATTGTTGCTCCCCCACTTAATCATGTTTATTTTTTGTTGTTCGCACTGGGGGTTATGCAGACCTGTGGCCATCCAGGGCAGTTCCAGTTCCGCACTGCTGGCCAGGCCCAGGAGGAAGGGAGGAAGAGGGAGGGGCCGGGCCAGGGCTGCCCAGGAGGAGCCCTGCTGGCAGGAGGTGGGTGAGGGGGCCCAGCAGGAAGCCCACAGCCCCTCCAGGATCCACCCCCCTGTGCCCCCCTCCCTGCCTAATGGTGTGTCTGTGTGTGTGGACAGAGGTCTGGGAGGGGAGTGTCCCTATGGAGGGGTATGTGTATCTGTGTCCTTGCATGTCTAGCCGGGTGTGCAGTGTGCACATGTTCCCGGGTATCATTCTGTATGCAGGTGTTCAGGGGTCTGTGTGCTGTTGTCGTAGGGGAGTCGTGGCATGTGGGGCTGTCGATATGTGGGGGGGTGGGGGGGTGTATATATGTCCGTAGAGTATGAGAGTGTTGGTGTGTGTGCAGGTGTGTGTTCCAGGGTCTGTGTGTGAGTAGGGGTCTGGGTTTGGGTGTGTCTGTTGCTGTGTGGGTGTGTGTCGGGGTGTATGTGCGTAAGTGTGCAGGTATGTGTGGCTGTGCCTTTTGCTGTGGGTGGCTGTATCTGTGTAGCTATGGCTGTGGGTAGGTGTGTGGGTCTGTGGGGTGTGAGGAAGGATCCGAGGGTGTTGCTCTATGTTTGGGTCTGGATGTGTCTGTGTGGAGGGGAGGGTGTTAACACCTACAGAGGAAAAGCAGCCCTTTTTAGCAGGCCTCTTTCAAGTGAAAAACTGCTTTCAAAACCCGGAAATGGTGACCAGGCTGTCATCTGTTTCCTGCAGGGTGGTGGGCAGACCATGGCCGAGTGGGAGGGCAGCAGGCAGGCCTCCAGGCCTGTGGGGACCCCAGACCCACCTGACTGCTGGGCGCACCTGCCAAGGACCGGCGGCCAGAGCCTGACTGCAGGGACATATTTAGAAACAATGAATTCTCTGGTTGGAGGGGGAGGGGACCCCTTTATTTTCATCTGCACAGAAATAGCTCTCATCGGATAGGAGTTCTTGAGACCTCTGGGGTGAGAGGCAGCTCTGAAATAGAAGGAAAGATATTAAAGATTTTCGACAGACAAGAAAACTCCTGAGCTCGCTGAAACTGAGTTTAAAATATTTCTCTAAAAATAAGCTTTGTTTTCCTTGTGGATTCCTCTGGCAATCGGGCCCTCGTGTCAGGGTGCTTAGCTGGCCTGTGAAGCCAGGCGGAATTTTTAAAAAAGCAAGTGTTTCCCAGCCGTGGCCTTGGAAAGTTTTCTGTTTTCCATTTATTAGACTCCTAGTTTCCAGCTAATTAAAATTATTTTCAAATAAAACTCCACAGCCCAGCAATATTTGACAAAACACAGAATTCCCAGGGACCCCTCCGCAGGAGGCGGGGCTGGGCCGGCGGATGGCCTGTGACCCCTCCGCCGGGCCCTGTGCCAGTTTTATGGGGAGGTGGACCCTTCGGAATGCAGGTCCAGGGCCGTGTGCTACCCTCTCGGTGACAGGTGAGGGGCTGCTTGCGAGGCTGTCTCTGAGCCTGGCACCTCTTGAGAAGGGGCCGTGGGGCCATTAGGAACCTGCCCCTTGCCGGCCTACCCACTGAACCCAGGAGGGGCCCACTGCCCGGGAAGGGAAGTGCTGTCTGGTGGCCGCCTGCTGGCCTGGCCACTAAGGAAGCTGCAGGTCCAGTCAGGCCAGGGTGCCAGCACTTCACTGGGCACCAACAGGATGCCTAGAGTCCCAAGGCAGCATGTTGTGAAGCAGAAATCAGAGACTCCTGCAGGGCAGGAGGCTCCTGCCACCGAGAGCCACACCTGGTGTGATTCAGACTTACTCGCTGGCAGGCCCGCCGCCTCCCTGCCCTGAGATCCAGCCCAGACAGGGGAGGCATGGGTGCTGGGGCTGCTGGCTGGGACCCTCCAGCCGTCCCATGGTAAATGCTGACAGATGTCACCCCCTACCATAATGGATGTCCCTGTCTTCAAGGTCTGATCACAATGTAGTATGAATCCGCTTTCACTCCTTTGTATGTATAGCAGGATAATATTCCATTATATGTTATATGGATCCACCACATTTGGTTTATCCACTCCTCAGTTGACAGCCATTTGAGTTCTTCCAGCTTCTTGGCTCTTGTTGAATAATGCTGCTACAATCATCTGTGCATGCATAAGCTTTCGCGCA